AAGATGCTGTCTTTATTTTTGATTTTGGAGAGCTTGATTATTATATGTCTTGGTGATTGTCTTTTAGGGTCTATCCTTCCTGGGTTTCATTGAGCTTCTTGAATGCTTATCTTTTCACTTTTTATGATGTTCGGAAAATTATCTTCCAGAAGCTCTTCAGCTATCTCTTCTGTGGACTTATGTAGTTGTTCCTGTTCTGGAATGCCAATAATTCTTAAGTTCTTCCTCTTCTTGTTGTCCAACATGAATCTTTCGCCTTCTTCAGATTTTTTTATCCTTTTTTGTGTTTGCTCTTCTTAGTAATGTTGAGAGATTTATCTTCTAGCTCACTAGTTGTGGCTTTTATCTCTTCAGTTCTACTCCTCTGCCCTTTCAGTGTATTGTCCATTTCTGATATTCTGTTATTAATCATTTGGACCTCTTTCTGTAGGTTTTGAATCGTTCCCAATGCTATGTCTGTCTTATTTGATTGTTCCTGTAGTGCTTTCCTGACTTCTTCCCTATTTTTCTCAACTCCATTATATAGTGTTTTGATACATTTTATGATCATTTTTCTGAATTCTTTCTCAGGCATTTTCAAAGCCTGCCCATCTTCCAGTATGGATTGTAAGTCTACTTTCAGCTCGTTTGTCTCAGTCACTTTATCTCGTTTCTGGACATGTGCTGATATGATCATCTTCTTGTTTTTTTGGCATATTCATGGGTTATCTGTGGCCTTAATACTTAGATAGGTATGTATTTTGGTGTTTTTTATGCTTTCTGATTGCCTCCAGGTAGATGTGATTAGGAAATGGACTTCCCTTTTCACTCTTCTTCTTGAGAAATTTCAAGATGCCACTGTTGGTCATTTTGATGTAACTTAGGATTTAATTTTCGGCCTATTTCCTTTTTTGTCTGCCTGTCCTGCTCCACAATCCCTGTTCATGCCTTTTTTCTAGTTATAAACAGCTCAGGGCCGGTTGTGGCTGTTTGGTTTGAAGTGGAAACTGTCTCTTTAAATTTTGAGGAGATTTGTGCACATGTGTAGTAGAACTCTCCGAGGGTGGAGTTGGGGTGTCCACTAGCTCAGACACCCCTATAGTCACCAGAATGGAGGTGCGCAGACAGCAAGGGACCAATTAACAGATACCAAAAGAAAAGAATGTCCACACCTTTATCTCTGTGGTTCTGTCAGGCGTCCGTGGTTGCTCTTATCCTTCCCTGGCTTGGTCTCACCCAAGATGGCGACTCCTGGAGCAGCTGAGCGTCTTGAATTAGAAAGCAATGGATTTCTTGCTTCTGTTACAAATTCCCCTAGGTGTAAGCCTTCCAAGCTTCTAAATATTCCTTTCTATGTGGTTCAGAGTTCTGGGACCATCCCCTGAGCCTGTTTGGTCCTGTATTCTGTGTTGTTGCTGACAGAGCTCCTTACTGCACTTCCATCCGATCCGCCATCTTGTTTGTTCTTCTCTGTCATTTGATTTCTTGACTTCTGCTTCCATGAGTGTTGATGGTTGATCGAACAAAAATGAAGCCTTTGACAATTTCAATCTTTTCCCCATTGATAAGAATGTTGTTTATTGGTCCAGTGGTGAGGATTTATGTTTTCTTTACATTGAGATGTAATCCATACCGAAGGCTAAGGTCTTTGATCTTTATCAGTAAGTGTCTTAAGTCCTCTTTATGTTCAGCAAACAAGGTTGTATTGTCTGCATATCGCAGGTTGTTAATGAGTCTTCCTGCAATCCTAGTGCCACATTTTTTTCATATAACCCACCTTCATGGATTATATGCTCAGCATACAGGTTGAATAAGTATGGTGAATGAATACAACCCTGTCGCACACCTTTCTTAATTTAAACCATTTGGTGTTCCCATGATCTGTTCAATCAGCTGCCTCTTTTTCCATGTGCAGATTCCTCATGAGCACAATTAAGTGTTCCGGAATACTCATACTTCTCATTTTTGTCCATAGCTTGTCGTGGTCCGCACAATTGAAGGTCTTTGCATAGTCAGTAAAGCACAGGAAAACATACTTCTGGCATTCTCTGCTATTAGCCAATGTCCAGCTGGTATTTAAAATACCCGTGGCATAGCTTCCAGAATCACAGCAACTCACAAACCACCCAACTACTACAAACTGAGAGATGAGTGGATATATAGCAATAGCAATGTCTAAATTGCCCATTCCTACGCGTACTGGTGTGGTACTGTGGGTTAATGTGGCAGACTGCAAAGCCGTTTGAACTGCAAGGTTGGTGGTTCAAACCTCCAGCTGCTCCTTGAAAACCCTATACAGGGTTGCTATGGGTTGGAATCGTCTCACTAGCACTTAACAACAACAACAGCAACCAATCCAGTACACTGAGAAGACATGTGTGTTCCCCGATGTGAAGAGACTTCCATTCCAATTGGAATTTTGAGGAACTGTATTCATAAGTAATCGTCCAGTTCATCCAAATTTGAGGGCTCTAACCCAGGGCACACACAGACTACCAAACATTGTAAAAATTGCACAAACAAAAGAAGTCAAAAGAAGATGATTGGGACATACTAAAAATCAGAAACTCCTGTGCATCAAAAAACTTCACCAAAAGAGTAAAACAGAAGCCCACAGAATAGGAAAAAATCTTTTGCAACAACATATCAGACAAGGGACTGATTTCTAAAATATATAGGAAACTACAGTACCTCTACAAGAAAAATACAAATAACCCAATTAAAAAATGGGCACAGGACATGAAAAGACACTTCACCTAGAAAGACATTTGGTCAGCCAACAAACATGAAGAAATGTTCACAATCATTAGCCATTGTTGTTACTGTTATATGCCTGGAGTTGATTATGACTCATAGCGACCATGTACAGGGTTTCCAAGGCTGTAAATCTTTTTGGGAGCAGAAGGCCTGAGAGATGCAAATCAAAACAACAATGCGATATCATCTCACACCAGCAGTAACAGCGAAGTTCAAAAACGTAGAGGACAATAAATGCTGACGAGGATGTGTAGAGACTGGGACCCTCCTACATTGCTGGTGGAATTGCAAAATGGTCCAAACACTCTGGAAAACAGTATGGCGCTTCCTCAGAAAGTTTGAAATAGAAATACCTTATGATCCAGCGATCCCTCTACTTGGTATTTATCCACAAGATATATGAGCCCTAACATGAGTAGATATATGCACACCAATGTTCATACCCTCATTATTTGCAATAGCAAAAAGATGGAGACTGTCTAAGTACCCGTTAATGGAAGAATGGATAAACTGTGGTACATTCACACAATGGAATATTATGCTACCATGAGTATTAACAAGGAAGCTATAAGCCACCACATGACATGGTTGAACCTTGAGGACATAATGCTGAGTGAAATTAGTCAGTCACAAAAGGAGAAATACTACATAAGACCATTATTATAAAAGCTTGAGAAATATATCCACACTAATAAGGGTTGAAAAATTCTTTGTTGCTTACCAGGGGTGTAAGGGGAAGGGCAAAGGAGGGAGGGAGGGGAAGGTGGAGCACAAGTTAGGTTATAGACACAATAGTTTGGGTGTTTTGGGTGGGCAGTATACAAGAACGGGGGTGGAATGGAAGAACATGGCAGATAGGAGAACATTTAGGCATGTTTGCATGGTCTAAATAGGACAGAGGTAAATAGTGATGTATGCTCAACTTTGGAACAACAGGGTTCTGTGATTCAGGGATTGAGCCATAGTCTGC